TAGTCGCCTATAAAAAACAAAGCCCCTAATGTTGGGACATCTAGTCACCCTAGTTTTCTTCAAGAAAATCTTTAGATAGGTTTGAGCCACTTTGGACCATTTATGGCTCTGATCCTGCATTTAAGACATATGAGTAGCTTTACTCTTGCAAATCCCATTAAAGTTCTGCACGATTTTACAAGATTGGGGCTAAGATGTCAACAGTGCCAATAGGAAACCACCCACAGCATAAACAGAGTACATAGAGTTCATAGAATCATAGAGTGACTAACAGAGGGAGTTTGCCTGGGAGTTTGCCTGGGGAGAGCCCACTGCAGCTTTCAGCTTGCAGGCTTCTCCGAGTAGTTACTTCAACAGCTGAGGAAGATCTGAGAAGGAAAATAATATGGATGGTGAGTGTTCAGCTGTTGTGACCTGCACAGGATATGCCATGTTTGTCTTTCTTCCACAGGACAGAAGCAACTTTGTCTGTACAAACTGCAAGCTGGTCTCCATATTGGAAGAGAAGGTTCAAGGTCTGAAGAAACAAGTATCTGCATTTCATAAGAGAAAATGAAGATTTCTTGGACAGACGTCAGGATATGCTTCTATGGGCACACCATTCTGAAGAATCAGAGCAGGCTGCACAACGGGGACAGGACGGTGAAGAAAATTGGCAGCATGTGACCTCCAGAAGAAGAAAGAGGAACATCCATGTACCAGCAATGCAGATACAGGTGAGCAACCGTTTTCATGTTCTCTCCACAGGTACTAATGCGGAGAGTGGACTAGATGATACATCTGAGGGAAGGGAGCAGAAGGAGACTCCACCGATTGAAGGCATGAGATGCACTGTCCTAGGGATGGAGGTTCCATGACCACCGCTCCCAAGAGAAGGAGGTGGGTGGTGGTGGTCGGGGACTCCCTCCTAAGGGGGACTGAGTCATCTACCTACTGCCTCGACCGGGAAAACCAAGAATTGTGCTGCTTGCCAGGAGCTAGGATTCACGATATGACGGAGAGACTGCCAAGACTCATCAAGCCCTCGGATCGCTACCCCTTCCTGCTTCTCCACATGAGCACCAATGATTCTGCCAAGAATGACTTGAATGGATCACTGCAGACTACCTGGCTCTGGGAAGAAGGATAAAGGAGTTTGAGGCGCAAGTGGTGTTTTTGTCCATCCTCCCTGTGGAAGGAAAAGGCCCGGGTAGAAATCGTCAAATCGTGGAAGTCAATGAATGGTACACAGGTGGTGTCAGAAAGAAGGTTTTGGATTCTTTGACGATGGGATGGTGTTCCAAGAAGAAGGATTTTTAGGCAGAGAAGAGCTCCACCTAACGAAGAGAGGGAAGAGCAACTTCGCACGCAGGCTGGCTAACCTAGTGAGGAGGGCTTTAAACTAGGTTCACCGGGGGAAGGAGACCAAAGCCCTGAGGTAAATGGGGAAGTGGGATACCAGGAGAAAGCACAAGGAGGAGAGCGCAAGAGGGGAGAACTCCTGCCTCATACTGAGAAAGCAGGACGATCAGCGAGTTATCTTAAGTGCCTATACACAAATGCAAGAAGCCTGGGAAACAAGCAGGGAGAACTGGAAGTCCTGGCACAGTCAAGGAATTATGATGTGACTGGAATAACAGAGACTTGGTGGGATAACTCACATGACTGGAGTACTGTCATGGATGGATATAAACTGTTCAGGAAGGACAGGCAGGGCAGAAAAGGTGGGGGAGTTGCATTGTAAGTAAGAGAGCAGCATGATTGCTCAGAGATCCAGTATGAAACTGCAGAAAAACCTGAGAGTCTCTGGATTAAGTTTAGAAGTGTGAACAATAAGGGTGACGTCATGGTGGGAGTCTGCTATAGATCACCAGACCAGGGGTATGAGGTGGACGAGGTTTTCTTCAGGCAATTAACAGAAGTTACTAGATCACAGGCCCTGGTTCTCATGGGGGACTTCAATCACCCCAATATCTGCTGGGAGAGCAATACAACGGTGCACAGACAATCCAGGAAGTTTTTGGAAAGGATAAGGGACAATTTCCTGGTGCAAGTGCTGGAGGAACCAACTAGGGGCAGAGCTCTTCTTGACCTGCTGCTCACAAACAGGGAAGAATTAGTAGGGGAAGCAAAAGTGGATGGGAACCTGGGAGGCAGTGACCATGAGATGGTCGAGTTCAGGATCCTGACACAAGGAAGAAAGGAGAGCAGCAGAATACGGACCTAGGACTTCAGAAAAGCAGACTTTGACTTCCTCAGGGAACTGATGGGCAGAATCCCCTGGGAGAATAACATGAGGGGGAAAGGAGTCCAGGAGAGCTGGCTGTATTTTAAAGAATCCTTATTGAGTTTACAGGAACAAACCATCCTGATGTGTAGAAAGAATAGTAAATATGGCAGGCGCCCAGCTTGGCTTAACAGTGAAATCCTTGCTGATCTTAAACACAAAAAAGAAGCTTACAAGCAGCTTGGACAAATGACCAGAGAGGAGTATAAAAAGATTGCTCAGGCATGCAGGAGAGAAATCAGGAAGACCAAATCGCACTTGGAGTTGCAGCTAGCAAGGGATGTTAAGAGTAACAAGAAGGGTTTCTTCAGGTATGTTAGAAACAAGAAGGTGGTCAAGGAAAGTTTTGGCCCCTTACTGAATGTGGGAGGCAACATAGTGACAGAGGATGTGGAAAAAGCTAATGTACTCAATGCTTTTTTTGCGTCTGTTTTCACGAACAAGGTCAACTCCCAGACTACTGTACTGGGCAGCACAGTATGGGGAGGAGGTGACCAGACCTCTATGGAGAAAGAAGTGGTTCAGGACTATTTAGAAAAGCTGGACAAGTCCATGGGGCTGAATGCACTGCATTTTAGCAAGGGTGCTAAAGGAGCTGGCGGATGTGAATGCAGAGCCATTGGCCATTATCTTTGAAAACTCATGGTGATCGGGGGAGGTCCCGGATGACTGGAAAAAGGCTAATGTAGTGCCCATCTTTAAAAAAGGGAAGAAGGAGGATCCGGGGAACTACAGGCCAGTCAGCTTCACCTCAGTCCCTGGAAAAATCATGGAGCAGGTCTTCAAGTATCAATTCTGAAGCACTTAGAGGAGAGAAAGTGATAAGGAACAGCAGCATGGATTCACCAAGGGCAAGTCATGCCTGACTAATCTAATTGCCTTCTATGCTGAGATAACTGGCTCTGTGGATGAGGGGAAAGCAGTGGACGTGTTATTCCTTGACTTTAGCAAAGCTTTTGATATGTCAGAGTCCTGCACTTAGGACGGAAGAATCCCATGCACTGCTACAGACTAGGGATCGAGTGGTTAGGCAGCAGTTCTGCAGAAAAGGACCTAGGGGTTACAGTGGACGAGAAGCTGGATGTGAGTCAACAGTGTTCCCATGTTGCCAAGCAGGCTAACGGCATTTTGGGCTGAATAAGGAGGAGCACTGCCAGCAGATCGAGGGACGTGATCATTCCCTTCTATTTGGCATTGGTGAGGCCTCAATTGGAGTACTGTGTCTAGTTTTGGGCCCCACACTACAAGAGGGATGTGGAAAAATTGGAAAGAGTCCAGCGAAGGGCAACAACAATGATTAGGGGGCTGGAGCACATGATTTATGAGGAGAGGCTGAGGGAACTGGGATTATTTAGTCTGCAGAAGAGAAGAATGAGGGGGGGATTTGATAGCTGCTTTCAACTACCTGAAAGGGGGTTCCAAAGAGGATGGATCTAGACTGTTCTCAGTGGTACCAGATGACAGAACAAGGAGTAATAGTATCAAGTTGCAGTGGGGGAGGTTTAGGTTGTATATTAGGTGGAATCTCCTTCCTTAGAGGTTTTTAAGGTCAGGCTTGACGAAGCCCTGGCTGGGCTGATTTAGTTGGGGATTGGTCCTGCTTTGAGCAGGGTGTTGGACTTGATGACCTCGTGAGGTCCCTTCCAAGCCTGATATTCTATGATTCTATGAATCATCCCATACCTGCAATACTATGCGGTCTCACCAGTCTGTGCTTGTTTGCTGGGCCCAGAATCGGCGTTCCACTGTATCAACATGCCCCAATGCCGCCATGATATCCCAATGACCACATCCCGTGCTTTTAGGAACGAGTGTGTCCATGTCCTCCTCATAATCTTCCTCATGCTAGCGGCTCCTAGTTAGGCTCTGCACATACTGCAGGATAATGCGCGAGGTGTTTAAAATGCTCACAAAAGCAGTATGCAGCTGAATGGGCTCCATGCTTGCTGTACTATGGCGTCTGCACAGATAATCCGGGAAAAAAAGGCATGAAATGATTGTTTGCCGTTGCTTTCAAGGAGGGAGGGAGGGAAGGGAGACTGACAACATGTACCCAAAACGAACCGCGACAATGTTTTTGCCCCATCAGGCATTGGGAGCTTAACTCATTATTCCAATGGGCAGCGGGGACTGTGGGATAGCTACCCACAGTATACCACTCTGTGAGTCGATGCTAGCCATGGTATTCAGGGCACACTCTGCTGACCTAATGCACTTAGGGGGGACTGTATAAAATCGGTTACTAAACATCGACTTCTATAAAATCGACCTAATTTCGTAGTGTAGACATACCCTTATTTTAGTCTGCTTCCGCCTCTGGGTAGAGATATGAGTTATGCCTAGTTATCAAATTGGCCAGGCCTCCATACACTGTGGGGGTTGTGCCTGGGTACTACAGAGGCTCCTACAGCCTCAGTGACACAGGCTACAAATGGAGTTTGCTTTTGCGGCTGTGGCCCAGATGCTCTCCGCACGTGGTTTAGTTTCTCTCCCTAATCCAGAGCCGCCCTGGAGGGAGAGAGACAGAAAACTGCAGCACCCGCTCCCTTCTCCCCTGGGGCGAAGCAGTGCAGCCCGCGGCCCCAAGCTGCAGCGCAGAGCACTTCGTGTGAGCATCCCGCAGCCCTTGCTCCAGCGCACGGCACCAGCCCCAGCTCCGCGCCGCCCCCACTACCAAACAGCAGCAGCAGGCGCCCGCCTCCCCTTCGCCGGCGGCTGACAGCGCTTGCGCCGCCCGGCTCCTCCGCTTGTGCTCCCGGCTCCCGCCGCTGCCCCGCCATGGCCGCTTCCTCCTGCCGCCCCGCTCCGCCGCGGCCCGCCACCCACCTGATCTTTGACATGGACGGTCTCCTGCTGGGTGCGTAGCCCGCGCCTCCGCTGCTCCCGCCTGGCCCCAGCCGCTCTCACGCCAGGCTGCGGCCCTGTGGGGCAGGGCGGTTCGGCCCCTTCCTGCTGCCGCGCCGGGAGAGGGGCCGGGCGCAGCCGCTTGTGTCCCTGTCCAGGGGTGGCACAGCGCGCGCCGGTGGTTGAGTGGCGCCCTTCGCTGCTAGCCCTCTCTCTGCGGGGGCAAGCTCGAGCTGGGTCCCTGGGCTGCTGCAGTTCTGACCATTGCTTCACTCTCCTGTGCCCCCCTCACTGAATGGGGATGCCACCAGGGTGTGCCGGGGTAGCCATGTAAGCCCAGCCTGCTGTGGGGATGAAAGAGGTTTGCAGTCCCCAGCCTCTGAGAGTCCTCTGGCCTCCTTGGTGTACAAGGTACCGGGCTCCAATCCAAACATCTGACTCGAGGGGGAAGCAGTGGGACAATTTACAGCTCCAGTGCAATAGGCAGGACTGGGGCAGCTGTTTGGAGAAACACATTATTAGTAGAAAAGTTGGTGAGTAGGCTTGGTCTCATTTCAACCGGGTTGGTTACTTCCTGTAAGAAGTAAATAAAACACACTGTTCCGCAGTGCTACCTCGAACGACTACAGCTCTACAGTAGTGCTGTAACTGGGCCTTGATGATTTCACTAGTTCGTGGGACTGTTAAGCACATACATAAGTGCCTGCAAGATGAAAGCCTTATTTTGCACCACTACTGTAGATTACTGTAATCCTTGTGTACGGATTTTGGTTCTGATAAGTAGTTGACCTGTCATAGTGTAGGAAACCAAACTTTTCACCTGGAAGAATTCTGGGAGAGCATGGTTTGGGTGTGTATGCCTTCCCCTGAAGAAAGGGAGGAAGAGAGAGGTCCTAATGGTTTAGCCCATCATATAAATTAATTTTTCTGTTTCCCTTCTGGAAAATAGCCATTTTTACCCTTCCACATTCATTGTCTCCATTTAATTTAAAGGGGCATCAGTTTAAAAATATTGTGCAAACAAATTTATTTACCTGTGTTGCTCATAGTACCTTACATTATATAAGAAAAGAAAAAAAATATTTAAAGTCTCATTAACGTTACTATTTAGACACTTTGTTCACCTTTTGCAGTTCTCTCATCAGGGACAGTGCCAATCAGTGAAGTCAGTATCACATGTTTATACTCAATTTCACTTTCAGCTTCTAAGTGCTGCACTGCAGGGGGATATTAATTTGTCTAAATCCCACTGTTTTCATTGTTTTTTTTTTAAATGGAAATATTTATATTGGTCTTTATGACTTTTTTCTTGTTAGTTTTTAGTATTTTTAATTTAAATAGAAGTTTTACAAACTTCTAGCAGCCCAGATGCTCCTCTAAGTCAAAGAGTGTAATTTACCAACATAAGTAAACATTTACTCCTGAGGGAATTCTGCACACAATATTTTATAATTATGCAAATTTTATTTGTCAAATAAATGTGGAGGCTCCTGCATGGCTTTGGGGAGCACAGGCCACTGGCTGCACAGAGATGAGAGATCACTGTGCAGCTCCCCGTGTCCCTTGGGACACAGACTCAGCAGTGAGGCTAGGGTGACCCAATTTTATAGGGACAGTCCCGATTTCTTGGGTCTTTTCCTTATATAGGCTCCTATTACCCTCCACCCCCCTGTCCCGATTTTTCACATTTGCTGTCTGGTCACCCTAGGTGAGGCTGCACCCAACCCAGACATAGCGCAAGGACCGGGCCTGCCCCAGAAATACCCTAGGCCCTGCCCCTCTGTGCCAGTTGCACCAGGTGTGGGCAGGCAGGCTCAGCAAGGCAGGATCCAAGTGTGGAGGGACTTAGTGTGGGGGGATCCAGGTGTGGGTTGAGAGGGCTCTGGGTGGGTCAATCTGGGTGCGGGCAGCTCAGTGTGGGATCTAGATGGACAGGGGCTTGTTGGGGGTTTCTGGGTGCAATGGTAATGGGACTCTGCAGGGGGGTCCAGGTGAAGGTGGTTGGGGCTTAGCAGGGGGCGGGGTCTGGGTGTGGGGAGGATAGAGCTTGGCAAGGGGGTATGGGTGTGGGCTCATTGGGGGGGTCCAGATGCAGCTAGGTGGAGATTCGGGTGTGGGTGGCTCGTCAGGGTGGTCCAGGTGCAGGGGGAGTGGGGCTCATCAGGGGCGCTTCTGAGTGTGTGTGTGTGGGGGGGTTAGGCTTGGCGGGAGGGTCTGGGTATGAGGGGATCTGGCTGCACAGTGGTTGGGTGGATGGGGCAGGGGATCCTGTACAAGAATCCATCCCGCTGCAGCTGAGGAGTGATGGGTGCAGGAAACGGAGGAGGGAGGGGGAGAAAGAGAGTTTGCAGAGCTTCCTGCAGCTGGGGGAGAAATCTGGGGGTGGGTCTGACCTGGCCCTGGATGCCGTGCAGGGGAAGAGGAAGTCCTGTCCTCCCCAGCCCTGACGGGACTAGCAGCTGAGCCGGGCGCAGGGTAGGAGCCACCAGCCGGGTCTTCCCCAGTCCCGCATCCCCACAGTGATTTGCCTCTCTGCTGGCTGCCCTTGGCCCCCGAAACAGACTGCTGGGGAGGGTCGCATGACTGCTCTTGTGGCTTCCCTTTGCTTCCCCGTCAGAAAGTACTTTTTCTGCAGGGAATATAAATTCTGCGCATGCGCAGTGGTGCAGAATTCCTCCAGGAGTAGAGTATGTAGGTCCTGAGCTTGGAAATACTTATATGTATGAATAACTTGAATAACTTTATACTCATGAGCAGTCTCATTGATTTTTAACTGTACTTCTCTTGTATGTGTGTGTTTAAGATTGGTGCTTTAAATTACAGACAGTGTCCAAAGGCATTTTTGTGGAAGACCATACTGTCTCTAGTTAAAAATAATACTCTTATAATACTTGAGATTCTGTCTTTATTAGGTACCACAAAATGAAATTAATTAGTCTTCTGAGACTTGTTTAATCCCCCAGACCCAGGGGTTCATACAATGAAGCAGCTTTAAGATTTTCCTAGAATGTGAGCTGTTCATCATACTGGGAAATTAATTCTATGGGATCCCAAGTTCTTGGACCTGAGATTGCTGTGTTTGGGACACTCCAGGTATTAAACCTGCTCTTGACTGTTATTAAATTAATCTCTTTCAGGCTGTTATAGATAAATACCCCAGTTTTTGTGTCACTTTCTGGATTTGTTAAAATAAAAGTCAGACTTCAACTACAGCATCTTGTGTGCAGATGCTCTGATTTAGTGAGGTGCTTGGGCCAGCTGGATTAAGACTAACTTTTTTCCCTTCCTTCAAATTGTGAAGTAGTTTTCAGATTAAAATTGTATTTTTCAGTAATTCTTATACTAAAACACTAATATGATTCCTTCTTAACAGTGAAGGAAACGTACACACACACAAATGCATTAAAAGAAGAGTAATATGATAATGGGAAAACGAGAATATTCATAGTTCAGATTAAAATATACCTTAGTGTCTTCCAGTACAAGGCACAATGGGACACCACCTTAATGATTTTATTAATGCACACCATTATAAATTAGCTATCAGAGGGCTTATGGCTTGTTTCAACCTTTAACTGTCTTGGGTTCTGTCACAACTTTAATATGGTCTTTGTGAGTATACATGGTAAACAGGAGCTGTGAAATTTAGAAAGCAAAAAGTCAGGCAGTCAGGTGGTTTCCAGAATTTGATCCAATATAGTGGTTCTGTCTTTCACGTGGTTAAAAATGTCTGGAGCAGGGTGGATTTGATTTAAGTCAAATTGACTTAAATCATGATTTAAATCACGGGTCAGGAAGACTAGATTTAATCATGGTTTTCTACATAAAAGTGCATTCTTGTACATTGTTATAACCTTAATACATATTCGTCACAACTCAGAGATAGATGCAGATTTCATTTTTAGAAGGTACACACTATACATTTTTAAACTGACTTATTTTGAAAACTTTTCAGATTAGTTTTACAGCTATATCAGAAAATGAATGATAGTTTGTTTTTTTCATTTACCGAAGGTAATTGAAGCAGATATTTATGAAGTCATCGGGAGGTGAACTATCTCCAGTTCAACAGGTTAATCATTAATATTTGGAGGATTTTCTTGCCATGCTGTATTAGGAGGAGAACATCACCAGACAGACATTTAAATTGTTTTATTTAACTAAAACAACAACATTAAGTATTCTGGATTTTTTTTCGTCAACAGCAAACATATAATATTTTAACAAAACAAGCATATGTCCCTCACTTCTCACATTTATCTCCAGACTTCTTCTCCTTGTCCAGATCTATTCCGCCCCCAACAATCTTCTATTCATTGAACTTTTTGAAACTTTGCACTTTTAGAGAGAGCTAAGGGATTGACTCTGTGTACACAAATTTGCAGAGGGACAATAGAGTTGAGGTCTGTTATTTCTCTCCTCTGTATATTATTTATTTATTTAAAAAACATTTTTGCTATTAACAAGCATGTTACCTCTGGAGACACAAATCCACAGTTTGAGAACTGCAAAACTAAGCATCTCTGATGGTATCTTCTAGACTGAGCACTGAGTCCCATTGGGTAGATAGAAAGATTAATCTAAATAATCTATACAAAAGCCTGTGGAACCCCATAAGATTGGGTCCCTAATCCATGAACTATTGGAACTCATTTACAAAACTTTTCTTAAACATTACATGAATATATTGTCTCATACTATAGAATTAGAATGTATAATCCCTATTCCATGAGATATCTTTGAGCTATAATGTATCTTAATTAAAACTATCTTTAGATAGGTTTTTTTCCTCAAAAAGCATTTTATCAAAAAAATCTGATTTAAATAAAAAATATCCATTTTTTTTTTTAATTTAAAAAAAATCATTGATTTTTATCCAGCCTGGTCTGGAGTAATTAAATTATTTTTGGGGAGAGAAATGAGTGGTTAGATACTTATGATATTCTCTTCTAATTATGTACATAGCCCTATTAGTGCTCTGAGCAAGGATGAGCAGCACAGTAATATTGGCAT